CCGCCACCGTTGAATAAAAGCTTCGATCGATCAGTACATTCCATGCTTATTACAAAAAAAAAAAAAAAAAAAATCCCTTTTCTTCTTCCCAAGAAATCTTCACCCACTTTCGCGATACCTATGATTAATGCAGAATGAATAGAACAGGTATAGCTCTCTCTCTCTCTTTTCTTTCTTTCTCTCTCTCTTCCTTTCTTTCTCTCTCTCTCTCTCTCTCTCTCTCTCTCTCTCTCTCTCTTTCTCTCTCTCTCTCTCTCTCTCTCTCTCTCTCTCTCTCTCTCTCTCTCTCTCTCTCTTTTCTTTCTTTCTCTCTCTCTTCCTTTCTCTCTCTCTCTCTCTCTCTCTCTCTCTCTCTCTCTCTCTCTCTCTCTCTCTCTCTCTCTCTCTCTCTCTCTTTCTCTCTATCTCTCTCTCTCTATCTCATTCGCTGTCTTTGTTTCCCCATACATTTTCCTCTTCTCTCTTTCTTACGTATCTTCTATTTCTCTCCCCTATCCACTTTTTTCATCGTCATTTTATTCCCTTTCATTTTCCCTTCTCCTTCCTTATCTTCCCTTTTCTCTTCCCCTATTCCCTCTTTTCGAATAAAGAGAGAAAACGAGAGAAAAATACAAAACCAATTATTTCTCCATCCCTTTCCTCTTTCTCGTTTCTCCCACCCCCTCTCCTTTATCACCTCCCCTATCCATCATCTTCCTTCTCCATTATCTTCCACTCCAGACTTCCACCACCATCAAAGTGGACGAAATCTTCCTCTTCGCAAGTGGAGGCGTCAATATCAGAGTCCCTGTGGTGAGGTGGAAGGCAGGTGGAGAGAGCAAAGCGTCGATGGCTGTCATTCATCCACCTGGTTACGGTCCTTATGATTTTCAAGGACATGTTATCAATGTTATTGCTATGGAGGTAAGATACTCGGTTCTTGTCTTTTGTTTGTTTTTTTGTTTTCTGTATTTTTCTTCGTCTTTTCTTTTTTTCTTTATTTTGTCTGTCCGTTTTTATTTCTATTATTTGTTTCTATTATTTTTCTTTCTTTTGTATTTGTCTGTTCTTTTTCTTTTCTTTTCTTTGTCTTTTTTCTTTCTTTCTCTGTTTCTGATTTTTCTTTTTCTTTCTCTATTTCTTCCTTTATATTTTTCTTTCATTTTTATTTATTCTTCTTTATTTTCTTTGTCTTTTCTTTCTTTCTCTGTTTCTGCATTTTCTTTTTTTCTTTCTTTTCTTTCTCTATTTCTTCTTTTCTCTATATTTTTTCTTTTTTTCTTTCTTTTTAAGGTCATTTTATTAAAGTTATTGCTAATAAGGTGAGCGTCTTGTTCTGTATTCATTTCTTTTATTTATTGTTTTGTTTGTCTTTCGTTTTTCTTTCTTTTTATCTGTCTATTATTTTTTTCTAGTGTTTCTTTAATTATTCATTTATTTCTATGTTTCTTTCTTTTCAAGGACATGTTATCAGCGTTATTGCTGCAGAGGTGAGTGGAGTTTTTCTTTCTGTTATCTATTCCACTTTTCCTTATTTATTTCTTCCTTTCTACCTTCTTTTACTTCAAGGTCACGTTATTCCTGTCATTGCTATCGAGGTGAGTTTTTTTTGTCTGAGGATATCGAGTCTTTTTACCGTTTTTTTGTTCTTTCATTCAAAGAACATATCATCAACGTTATTACTGTGTAGCTATACATCTTTCCTTCTTTCTTTCCAAAAAACTTTCATGTCATCAGTAATATTAGTATATTATTAAGTGTTTCTATCTTTTTACTTTATTCTTTCTCTCTTTTTCTTTTCTTTCTTTTTGTGTTCCTGCTTAGGTTATTTTTTATTGTTCGGTCTAGTGTTTTTATAATTTATGTTCTCATTATTACCATTTTTATCATTATCATAGAGATCATTATTATATTGATATCAATATCATTACCGGTATTGATACCATTATCAGTAATGGTTTAATGGTGTTAATAATAGCCATGATAAAATTATCATAATCATTGATATTATCCTTATTTTCATCTGTATCATCGCCGTCATATTCGTTATCATTATCAATATCATTATTATTAAATCTATAGGATTATAGTTATTTTTATTATTATCATCGCTATCATTATTGCTATTATTATCATTATCTTTAACATTACCATTAATATCATTACATTTGTCACTATCATAACAGGTATCATAAATGTCATCATAACTATCATCACCGTGGTCATTTATATAATAAATAAACTATTGTTTCATATCAACATTTCCATCATTATCATTACTACAAATAGCTATTGTTGTCATAATTGCTATTAGCATTTATAATGCTATCATTAGTGATTGTCATGTTTAACATTATTCCATTGCTATCGTTATCATTATGTTTGCTATTGTCACCATATTCATCATAACCATAATCTTGAATTTAACAAGTATTATGTATTAGACACGTTTAGAAAAAAAAAAACTGTTACATTGACTTTACATAAATTTGTGCATGTCAGACTGTTCAGCTGACATACCACGTAATATGCATTTACTATGTCAGTGAAAGATATAACAACACTTGCAGATGTTTACTTGATAAAAAAAAGGTTGGAATGCTTTGATTAAAAATGCAAGCAGAATATTGACTAGTTCATTCATAAGGATTACTTGCAACATAATAGGCCCTGAGTGAATAACAATTTTGGGGTGAAATACAATATGATATGACATCATTCATGTACCTTGTCTGCTGTAAATAGGGAATTCAAAGTAACGTGAAAGAAAATACAGGTTACAGAATATACAGTATATATCACTGCCATTCCTATTACTACCAATATCTTGTATCGGCAACGGTATATTATTCGCCATAAGTTTTCGAATTATATAAAACTTTTAATCATTATATAAACTACAATCATCTTCAATCAATGCCAGGGCTGATATTATCGGTAATAAATTAAATGGTTTACAATCAACCCACCCCGTTATCTTAAGAAAATTATCATTATTATGATGACTAGGAGTATAAGCCTCATTGTCAACTTTATTGCTATAACTATTGTTACCATTAACTTTGATTTGATCATATCCCTTACCATTATCAATGCCATTAATGCATGGTAGAGTTTATGTATGTATGGTCCATGGGCCCAGGGACCTCAACCATCGTTGGTCCCTTAACTCAAGGTCTGAAACTCATATATATATATATATATATATATATATATATATATATATATATATATATATATATATATATGAATTACAGCAATCACATAGATAACCAACAACAATACATTATAATAGAGAACAAAATTGCAAGGGCCCCCAAAACATATGTTCAGGAGCCCTACTAGGTCTAACTCCGGCGCTGCATTAAGACCACCGAGCACAATTACCGTCATTATCGTTATTGCTATTATAGCCACACACTTACCATAATCTCTACAACCACCACCGATATAATTTTTTATCATGTACATTCACTTCCCATGCAACGACTATTTGTGTATGTCAAACTATGCATATATTAGCTAATAAATGTTATTATAAATTTCAAATGTCAATATCATCGCTTTTGCAGTACCAGCCTTTCCTGATGAGAGCAAATCCTTGTAAGGAAACAAGCGGAAGCGTCGGCCTCGTCTATCAAGGAAAACCATGTCCTTCTACGATGCTTGGTGAGACAAAAAAAAAAATAAATAAATAAATAATAATAAAAAGACAAACAAACAAGTAATTGTTTTAAAAAATGAAAAAAACAAAAAACAATTAACGATTCAAACGATTGGAAAACAACAACAAATAAATTATTCAACAGATTGAAAAACCTAAAATAAATAAATGGTTAATAAAAAAATTCAAATAAAAACTCAAATGGGTGAAAAGGGATAATACCATAATTGGATTGTATAGCGATCATGAAGAATGATGGTAAAAGTGACTGTATGAATTGACATTCCTATTAGCGAATATCTTAAATATTTTATTTATCTATTTCTGTATTTACTCATTCATTTACATATTCATTTATTGTACAGAAGGGGTGATGATAGACCCGGAGCAGAAAAAGGCTTATGCGAACTACACTGGATATTTGATCGACATCATCCAAACACTTGCCAAAAGACTGAAGTTCAAGTGAGATATCTTCATGTCATTGTATAAGTGGTAATTTAATGATATGCAGATAACGTTTATTTACTTATTTCTATATATATAAGATCAAGATAATAATTACTGATAAATATAAGTGTATCTAAATCGAAATATATAGCCGAAGCCTGTGCCACTGCATCAAACTCAAACACGCATGGCGGGAATGTTAAAACACTGAAATATTACACCAGAAAATCGCAAACAAGGTAATTTATCAAGTCTCTGAGAATAATTACCTATACTTCTTTCATCCCACAGGATAAACCTACAAATCCTACACCCAAAAGAGGCAGAATTTGGCCTTGACGATGGCAATGGCACCTTCACGGGACTCGCTGGTTATCTGCAAACGAGGGTATAGTAATAAAATTTCGAATTTTCGTTCAATGCGGTGACGGTATTATGATTGCATCTGTCGGGATGGATTGCAATGAATTATTATTAATAGCAGTGATTTTTTTATGTTCTGTGTGAGGAGCGCCTCCAATACGAAGAGAAAACAAATGTGTAAACCAGACGAGACAAACGAGACAAATAATCAATTAATAAAACAAAAAAACAGCCAAAATAATAACCCAAATACAATCCCCTCCCCCCTCAAAAATGTTAGTAATATCAATATAATATCAAAATGTTACACCCCCCAAAAAAAAATAATAATAATAATAAAATATATATCAGTTAAATAAACAATATGTGTGTTCATGTGTGTGTGTGTGTGTGTGTGTGTGTGTGTGTGTGTGTGTGTGTGTGTGTGTGTAAAACATTAACACAAACTCAACCAATATAAAAAAAATATATTCAACAAAAAATATCAATTTCCAAAATAAACACAACATATGACCAAATAGAAACAGAAGTGAACTAAACCGTTATATTTCTTCCACAACAGAGAGCTGACATCGCTTTGGCTGGATTTTCTATGACACGCGAACGTCTCCCGTTTATGGACTTCTCTGAACCTATAAGTGAGATCAAATTCCATTTTCTTAGAATCTATAAGTGAGATCAAATTCCATTTTCTTTGAATCTATAAGTGAGATCAAATTCCATTTTCTTAGAATCTATAAGTGAGATCAAATTCCTTTTTCTTCGATTCTATAGGATCAAATTCATTTTTTCTCGGGACTTATAAGTGAGACCAGATTTTTTTCGCAGCACCTATAAGTTAGAACAAATTCCTTCTTCTCAGAACCTATAAATGAGATCAAATCCCTTTTTTCTCAGAACTTATAAGTGAGATGATTAGTATTATTTTTTTTAGAATCTATAAGTGAGAATACTCTTTTCCTCATACCGTATGAGTGAAATCTTATTCCTTTTTTTAGAATCTACAAGTGAGAACAATTTCCTTTTCCTCAGAATCTATAAGTGAGATCAAATTCATGTTTTTTTTTTAGAATCAATACGTGAGAACAATGTCCTTTTTCTCAGAACCTATAAGTGAGATCAAATTCTTTTGTTTCTCAGAACCCCTCCATCCTCCCCTCCCCCCCTCCATCCCGATCATCACCATAACCATCCCTTCCTCTCTCTCTCCCACTCTCCCTCCCTCGCTCCCTCCCTCCCTTCCTCCATCTCCCTCCCAATCACCACCATCACCACGGCTCCCTCTCCTTCCCCAGTGTACGCCGGCCAGTCATTGTACGTAAGCACCAACTCCTCTCTGCATACCATTGGCTGGAACACCTACGTCCTATCCTTCCAATGGGGAACCTGGCTCGCTATCCTCCTCCTCCTCATCATTATGACTTTCGGCTTGTGGTTCCTCGTGAGAAGACAGGGGGATGAGGATCCTCACTTCACCCAGACTCATAATGTGGCTTTTATCCTCTTCTCTTGTCTTGTACAGCAAGGTAAGTAGTGGGGTGAAAAGGAGGGTTTGAAAGATGATATTAGATTATGTTACTTTGCTGGGTTTGGGTTTTTCATTCTGACCCAAATCGAAACGAATATCATATCAGGATCGGAATGAATCATGAGTGAGAATAAAAATAAAAAGATAAAGACGGACGAGAAATAAACGTGAAACAAAGAGGGGGATAAACACGAAATAAAACACAAGACAAAGAGAGAATACTAAAAAGATCCACGTCTTCTTCAGGTTCCTGGATCCTGCCCACCACAGGCCGCGCCCAAGCTGTCCTGTGGATGTTCTGGTTCACGTCTGTGGTTCTCTACGCGTCCTACACCGCCCGCCTGACATCCTTCCTCACCGTGTCTTCGCTGAGACTTCCCTTCACCACCTTGGAAGAAGCTGTGCATTTGCCTGAGTGGAAAATAGGACTTCAGAAGGGGACGTCGGTTATTGAGACTCTGAAGGTAAAAGGTATAGAGAGGGAGAGGAAGGGAGGGAGAGAGAGAGAGGAGGAAGGGAAGGAGAGGGAGAGAAGAAGGAAGGGAGAGGGGAAGTATTTGGTGTCAGTATTTTAAGTCAGTATTTAGGAGTATTTTAATTCTAGGTCATAGGGGAAAGAGAGAGAGAGGAGGGAAAGAGAGAGAGAGAGAGAGAGAGAAAATCATACAAACAAAGAGAAAACATATACCTAGCAAACATAACAACCCAACAAGAAACGAACTATCGAATTAACTCCACCACCCCCCTCCCCCTCTCCCCCTACCTTCTATCCAAAACCCCTCCCCCGCCCACAGAGAGCCACGCCCAAGAGCAGTTATCACTCCGTCTGGAAAGGCATCGAGCGGGACAAGAACCTCCTGACGACCAACGAAGAAGCGGCCATCGTTCGGCTGCTGACGGAGAAGAAATTCGCGTTTCTCGGCGAGCAGCTGACTATGAGTTACCTGATTAACGGAAATTGCTCCATTACTGAGGTGTGTATGTTTTCGTTGCTATTATTGTTATTACTATTATTTTGTTGTTAATATCCTCATCATTATTACTATTATTATTATCATTATTGTTGTTACTATCAATAATATTATTGTTTTTGTTCTTTTGTTGTTACTGTATTTTCTGAGGAATATTGATTTCGATTTTCTTTTTTATAGTAGTTGTTGTTTGTTGTTGATGTTGATGCAGCGTGTCGTAGGTTCATATCTGTTTTGTTGATTATTGTAGAAAAGAATTTGTCAATAGAAGTTTTATGTAATGCACATACACGCTCACACACACGCACACGCACACACATACACACACACACACACACACATACACACACACACACACACACACACACACACACACACACACATACAGACACACACACACACACACACACACACACACACACACACACACACACACACACACACACACATACACACACACACACACACACACACACACACACACACACACACACACACACACACACACAATGTTCATCGATTCACCCATATATATATATATATATATATATATATATATATATATATATATATATATATATATATATACATATATATACATATATATATATATATATATACACACATATATACATATATATACATATATATACATATAGATAGATAGATAGATACAAGCATTTCTTTGCCAGATTCCAGGGAGTTACCTTGCAGGCTACGTCTCGTTGGGACTGCGAAAGAAACTGCCGTGGGCGACGGTCATCAACCAAGAGTAAGTGAGAAAGAGTGATAAATAAATACAAATAGATCAGAAGGTTAAATAAGAAAACGTTTGGATGAATATAATGATAGATAAAGAGAAAGTATGTACAGATAGGTAGGTCTGTATAGTATGTGAATGTCTGATCAGCGATTTTGGGTTTAAATACTCTTACATCGAAAAGACAAAATGGTTACCTGCGTCAAAACAAAGTAAATTGATTAGATGTTCTTGTCGTGGTGTCGAGTTTTTCGTTCTCTGATTAAAGATAAGGAGAGAGAGAGAGAGAGAGATGGAGGGAGGGAGGGAGAGATAGAAAGAAAGAGAGAGGGGGGGGGGAGAAAGAGAGAGAGAGAAGAGAGGGAAGAGGTAGAATGAGAGAGAGAGAGAGAGAAAGAAAGAGAAAACGAAAACCGACAGAGAGAACACAAGATAAAAATCAAAGAAAGCGACAGAGAGAGATAGAGAAAAAAAAGCCAAAATTCAATCCGTATATATACACCATTCTCCCTTCCACGATTAGCTTTATAATAAGTCTCATTCATTTCTGGCGAAAGGATCGTGAAGATGGCAACAGGTGGACTTCTCGACCGCATGTACCAACGCTGGTGGGGGAAGTCGATACCGTGTGAAGCCAGGTCACCTTATACGGAATTAGGATTTTCGTAAGTAGTTTTTGTTTTGTTTTGTTTTGTTTATTTGTTTTTCGTTAAGATATTTTTTGGTTTTTTTCCGTAAGTATGTGTTTTTGTTGTGTTTTCCGTAAGTATGTGTTTTTGCTGTGTTTTCCGTAAGTATGTGTTTTTGCTGTGTTTTCCGTAAGTATGTGTTTTTGCTGTGTTTTCCGTAAGTATGTGTTTTTGCTGTGTTTTCCGTAAGTATGTGTTTTTGCTGTGTTTTCCGTAAGTATGTGTTTTTGCTGTGTTTTCCGTAAGTATGTGTTTTTGCTGTGTTTTCCGTAAGTATGTGTTTTTGCTGTGTTTTCCGTAAGTATGTGTTTTTGCTGTGATTTCCGTAAAAGTGTGTTTTTGTTTTGTAAGTAGTTTTGTTTGTTTTTCGTAAGATTTTTTGTAATTAGATTTTGTTTTGTTCTTAGATTTGTCTGTTCTTAAGTACATTTTTTGTTTGTTTTGTTTCTCACTCGTAAGTACATTTTTTGTTTGCTTTGTTTCTCAACTCGTAAGTACATTTTTTTCCGTAATATTTTTTTGCGCGTGTCTCTGTTCTTGTTGTCTGTTTTGTTTGTTTTGTTTTTGCTTCTCTGTGTGTAAATGATTGTTTTTTGTTCTTCCCCCTTTCCTTCTGTTCTCTGTCTCTCCTTTGAAGCCTAAATATTAATCATTTACATATTAAGATCACTTACAATTGCATAAGCTAAATGTGTAAGTACCTTACCCAAAGTCATAACTAATCAAGAATATCTTTTGATTCTTCTAATATCTAAATGAAACTTCTCTCTCTCTCTCTCTCTCTCTCTCTGCCTCCCCTCTCCCTCTATCCTATTTTCCTTTTTTACCTCTCTCTCTCTCTCTCTCTCTTCACACCGTTTTTATTTCACTTTCTCCCTCTCTCCTTCTTATCATTCTATCTCTTCTTCGATCCTTCCCGCTATATTTTCTTTCCCTTTCTCTTTCTTATCATTCTCTCTCTCCTTCGCCCTCCCTTCTGTTCTCTCTCTCTCATCTTCCAATTATTTTTTTTTCTTTCTCTCCTTCCCCTTACCTTATCTTCTCTTTCTCCCCTCCTTTCCTCTTTCCTTCATATTTTTCTCTTTGTCTCCTCTCCTTCCTGCCTCCCTCTCGCCTGCTCTCTGTCTCTGCTTCTCCTTCCCTTCTATTTTCTCTCTTTTTCTTCCTTCCTCCCTCCCTCTTACTATCCCCTTTTTATCTCTTTCTCTCTCTCCTTCCCTTCCTCCCTTCCTTTGCTTCTCTCTCTTTCTCTCCCTTCCTCCCTCCTTCCCATTTTTTTACTCTCTCTTCCTCTCCCTCCCTTCATTTTTTTCTCTACCCTCTTCCTCTCTCGCAGAAACATCCTCACGGCCTTCCTCCTGCTCATCCTCGGCGGTCTCCTCTCCGTGCTGCTCCTTGTGTTCGAGATTTTCCTCAGGAAATACTACCGGAAGGACAAGGTGTTCTCGAGGGCGTCCTCCACCTTTCAAGGGCGAGTGTCGACCCTTGGAAGACCGAGGACGATTTTCGACAGTAGTGCGAGGCAGGTCGATGGACTGAGGCGGATAGTGAGAGTGGAGGAACAGACGCGAGTTGGATGATTTTTTTTTTTCAAGTATTGGGTGTCTAACGCAAATATGAAAGGTACCCGACTGCTGCCTTGCAGTTTAGTCCGTGTATGGTCAACAGCCGTGGGAGTTCACCCTATACAAAACAATCCACTGCCTTGTGGCATCTGTGAGATGAAAAGGCTTCGGGAGTCTAAGGAAAAATTCGGAGCTGGAGGCCTTAAGGCAAATCATTGTCGCTTGCAACCTCGTTCTGGCAACTCTTGAGACGCCGCTGGTGCCAAACTGTATCGGTCTATGCCGTTCCTTTGGATTAATCAGCTGCGTGGAGAAAGGGAGCCTGCTGCATGGGCAACAGCTTCCTCCTCACACTTTTTTACCCAGGCATTGACAGAGTCAATAATGTTAAAGTCTACATCGACTGATAGTGGCCATGTCATATATATATATATATATATATATGTGTGTGTGTGTGTGTGTGTATGTATATATATATATATACACACACACATACATATAATCATATCCATGTATGTCTCTGTGTCCTAAAGGAGTAATCTATATCTATAACGATTTGTTTATGTATATATACACACATTTATTAACCGTTTACCAGTTTTCCTACTATGTAGGGTTGCCGGTGTAGCTCATATAGTGAAAGTATAAAACTCACTATATGTATATATATGTATATATACATATATATGTATGCATATATTTATACGTATGCACATATTCATAAGTGCATAATTGTGGGTGTATCATCAATCTCACTCAAATACATATATCTATTTTCTCCATCTACCATGTAGAAATTCTTACAGAAATGCAATTAGAGGATTCACTAGCCTTAGAAATCGAACAAAATTACGTTACCAACACATAACATATATAGTTATAAGATGCTATAGTAAGCACTAGTTATAAGGCACGCAGATAGATATATATAAATCCATATAAGTATTATTGTTTATAGTTTCACAACAGAGTATTTGTAAATTACACACACACACACACAGACAAATACACACATATATACATAAATATATATGTACATATATGTATACATAAATATTCACACATAAATAGTCATCTGTACACTTACGCATTTATGTATATCATTATATTTTGTATATAAATGAACAGTGGAGATGAGAAAAAAAATGTACTCAATTCAGTACTGAACTTGTTCAGCACATTACAGCCTACAACGAAATTACTAATAAAGCAATACATAGTTGATTGCAAATTTCTTTCCCTTTGAATGCTACGCTTTTTTTTTACCAACTAACAATTATGTAGACAATAATCTATTTATCAAAATGTTATTTTATACATTCATGTTTTCGGTTTCGTAAATCTTTTTCTTTGATATCCCTTTAAAACAGCGAAGAATCTCTTATAATGCTTCTACAATTAACGTGACACATAAACTTAATAGGAACTTGGAAACCTACCTGTACTCACATAACTACAGACTTTAAAACTTTATAAACATATTAACTCTGGGATCATAAATATAACTTAGAACTTACAAATATAATGTGAATACTGCCAACTTAACAATGCAAAAAAAGACTGGATCGAGCAACCTATTGTCTCTGATTCGTCGATTTTGAAGCCCGCGATTTTCAACCGGCGCTATATTGGAGGGCCCCAATGCGGTATTGTAATAATTGCGGAGAAGTGGTATCAAGTGTAAACGATGGGAAAGCAAGGTATAAAATGTATTTCTTATGGTTGTAATAAGAGAAAACAAAATGTTAAAGAAGAAAACTACGTGCGAAGTGATAGCGAGGGTAGTGAAGATGAAGAGTCCGTGAAAAAAGAACATTACCAAGAACATTTCACAGGTGAGATAGGCCTGCATATTGTCTTGCGTGATTTCACTACAATTGTATTATCATCTATGATTTCTTGCATAATGTAGAGAACAAAATAAAGTGATTTATTTTTTGAGATCAGTGATGATAGAGCATTGGTTGGGTGGGCAAAAGAGTATTTGATAAACATTGAAAAAAAGGTTCTTCCTAGATCTAAGAATTTTGGCAGGTTAAGTTTGCACTTACATCTAATATAAATTTTATACATTTTAGTAACAACAGCTAGTTAGTATGGTTAGCAAAGGTGATATTTGAAAAGGCCCTTGACAAAAATATATGATTCATATATAAGATTATTTGGCCTTACTAAATTCCCTGTGGCCTACGCAAAATGCAAAATACAAAACTTTGTGACTTAAAGATATCTACATTTGTAGCAACTGAACTGCATAAACTTTCCAACATCTTGGATCCCTTTATATTTAGGTCTGAAGCAGTAAGTAACTACAGATTTTGTATCCACTTCCATCTATATATGCAGCAAAACACAAAACAAAAAGGGATAAACATCAAACATGATTTGCAAATGTGGTTTCCGCTTATAAATAGACACACTGCGTCCATCACATTAGGCCCTCCAATATGGCCGCCGCGAGATTTGTTTTGGCTTCATTTTTTGAACAATAGAAACTCAATCCAGTCATTTTTTGAGATCAGTGACCCCCACCCCCTGCCTCGTACCGACCATGAAGGTCGGTACGACCTGTACCTGCTGAGAGATCCATTCTACCTGGCCGACCCCAACCTCGGATGGTATTCAGTCATCATGAGCAGATAACATCGGATCTACACACCAATCAGCCTGCAGCGCCTCTTTCTGTGGTGGTTGAGAGGGAATCCATTCCGAAGTTCTCAGCCGAGACATCTGCATCACAGCCTCTTCGCCGGAACCAGGAGGTTGAAGGCTGGATCCGCCAGATAGAAAATCTGTCCCGCCCATCAACTGAAGAGAATTTCATCAGAAATGCAAGAGCACACTGTAGAGGACCAGCTGATTTGATAATTAACAGCCCAGCATTTGACAGAATCACGTCATGGCCAGAATTTAGAGCAAAGCTGCGATTGAAGTTCCGCGGAACATGCTCCTCTAGTGACTTCTTTCGTTTGCTCTATGAGAAGAGACTTGTGAGTGGACAAGCACCCCTAGATTTTTATGTGGATCTTGAGGGGGCTGTGTATCAAGGTGTACGGGATTATCCTGAAGCTATCGGCGAACCAGATGAGCTCATTAGAAGAGTATTCCTGCAAGGACTTCCTGGATGGCTACGGGAGATGTGCGCTCTCTCTGAAAATGGACCGCTGCAGCAGCTTATCGACACGGCTCAACGTGTATGGAATGCTCGTGTGGGAATCAGAGCGACAGATGAAGGACCACCACGTCTATATCCATCAGGTGCACGTGCTGCAGGTCGAGTGGCTGCCATTGATGATAACACCTCATCCTTTCAACAAGCCCATATGTCTGCACCCCATTTACCACCTCGGCGACCACCACGTCATATGGATAGGCCCCAAAGAAGATCTACGTGTTGGGCTTGTCAGCGTGAAGGGCACTTTCGTAGAGAGTGCCCCTTTCTTAATCTCCCAAGTGGAACGGGACCCGCCGCGCTGGGAGGACGCTCCAACTTGCAGGGTTCCAGAGTGCTACGCTCTGAACACAGAGCAGCAGGCAGTCAGACAGAAGCTTAGTGGCAGACCGACGATTATGCTGGAAGTTGAAGGGCAGAGATTCCATACCTTTGTTGACACAGGAAGCCAGGTTACATTGCTGAAGAAGGAAGCCGTGAGACAGTTGTCACCTCGCAGGATGCATGTTGCGGCTAGAGGACTTAAAGGAGTCTCAGGGAAGGAACTTGCTGTGACGGAGGAAATGGATGTGGAGTTTTGGCTGAGACCGGGAAGAAAGCTCTATCATAGAGTTATGGTTGTGGATGGTCTTTTCCAGGGGATTTGCTGGTCGGTACGGACTTTTTGAGAAGGGTTGACCATAAGATTGTCCATAGTGCACAGCCGCAGGAGGCATATTTACACCTTGATGGTATGGTTCATCCTATAAACTATGAAGATGGAGAATCTTTAGCACTGATATCATTCATTCAAAAGACAGTTCAGCATCCAGCAACCAGTCTTGCACCCAAAAGAAAGACAGTTTGCCCAGCCCATTCAGGAATCTACGTACCATGTAGTGTTTCCCCAAGTTTCAATGATAAGTCTGTGCTAATAACTGGAAATGTGTCAAAGCTAGAGGTGCCACGGACTTTGGTGACTCCAGTGAAGGGAGTATGCTCCGTATTTGTTGTCAACTTCAGTGCGAAACCAGTTACACTTAAGAATGGAGCGCATTTTTGTACTGCTGAGGAAGTACATGTGTTGCCTAACTCTGCCCATGATATGTCCCATAATCCTTCATCAACAGTGAACCTGTCTCCAGCTACGAGTGAAGCAGTTACGAACATAGAATTTGAAGACCAACCAGAGGAAATGCCTTTTACCTGGGATGATGACGACTTCGATACTATTCACGGTCTTCAGCTTACTGACCCTGAAGATGACTTGGCAGAGGTTTGTCCAGTTTTGCCCCCAAGTGATACTGTTACAAAGATTGATGCTGCTTTGCAGGAGAGTGCCATTGCTGAGGCAGCTCTGATTGAAGCAGATGGGGTAGAACCAACTTCTGAACCATCCCTAGGACACCTTAACACAGCAGAGAGAGAACAGATAAAGCAGGTTCTCGCTAAATTTCCTCGTCTATTTTCGGGTGATAAGACTCAAGTTGGTTTAGTTCCAGGAGTTACTCACAAGATTGTTACAGGTGACACGCAACCCACCTGCACGCGACAGTGGAGGCTGCCAGAATCTGCTAAGCAGAAGATAAGAGAGGAGTGTGACCAGATGTTGCGTGCTGGAATCATCGAGCCCTCGACATCACCTTGGCTTTCGCCTGTAGTTCTTGTGAGAAAGAAGGATAATAGTGTGCGATTTTGTGTAGATTATCGGAACCTCAATGCCGTCACTGTTGCCGACTCCTATCCACTCCCCAGAATTGATGAGTTGGTTGATGAACTGCGTGATACACAGGTATTTTCCCTCCTGGACAGCAGATCTGCTTATTGGTCTGTCCCTGTAGAACCTACTGACAGGCCGAAAACCGCTTTCAGTGATGGCTATCGCCTTTTTCAGTTTCAGCGAATGCCATTTGGTCTTTCTACTGCTCCCACAACTTTCCAGAGAACGATGAATGTGGTTCTTTCTCCAGTTCTTGGCAAACACACACTTGCATACCTGGATGATGTTGTTGTGTATAGCCGTGACTTCACTTCTCATCTTGGCCAGCTTGAGGAAACACTGAAGCTTCTTGACTGCGCAGGCTTTAAATTGAATATGGTCAAGTGTGAGTTTGCTGTACGACAGTTTCGCTTCTTAGGTTTCAAAATTACCCCTGAAGGAATTTTGCCCGATCCAGAGAAAGTTAGAAGTATCAGGGAAATGCAACCACCACGCAATGCCAAGGGAGTGCGACAATTCCTCGGGGCTACAGGTTTCTTTAGAAGGCATATTCATCAGTACGCGGCCATTGCAGCACCCCTCACACAGCTCACCCGCAAAGACAAGCCATTTAGTTGGGGACAAAAAGAACAGGAGGCCTTTAACATCTTGAAAGAGAAGCTTGTGTCAGCACCAGTTTTACGTAAACCTCGTTTCGAAGATCCTTTCGAAGTCCATACTGATGCTTCACAAACTGCTATTGGTGCCTGTCTTATGCAAAGGGATGCAGATGGAAATCCAGCCGCAATTGCATATTTTTCTAGGAAACTTCGTGGACCAGAGACCAGGTATTCTGCAACTGATTCTGAAGCTTTAGCAGTTGTAGAAGGAGTAAGAGCCTTTGACGCATACATATATGGTCGTCAATTCACAGTGTATACGGATCATCGGCCACTCACTTACATATTCACACGGAAGACTAAAAGTCCTCGCATGACCAGGTGGGCTTGTGAACTTTCCCATTACCAATTTAAAATAGTTTATAAACAGGGAATCCAGCATCGTGTTCCTGACATGTTATCCCGTTCAGTAGCACAAATTGACCTTGCCAATGTTGACCCAACAACCATGCGTGAAGAGCAAATGAAAGACCCTCTTTGGCAAGAAGTCATCAACTACTTGGAGGAGAAGAACTTACCCAAGAAGAAGATTCCACTTACTCTGGATGAGTTTACACTTCAAGATGGAGTTCTCTACCATCTTCGACAGTTTCCTGCACATACAGTCCATCAGCTTGTTGTACCAAAGGTTCTTCGTAGAGCTGCACTTAAAATTGCCCACGACAGTTCATTTGCATCTCATCCTGGTATTTTCAGAACATATCAGAAACTTAAGGATCTCTTCTATTTCCCCAATATGATGCGAGATGTGAAAGCTTATGTTACAGCTTGTTCGACATGTCAACGACGGAAGGGAACACCACACAGGGCGCCACTAGCTACTGCTCCACAGGTATCTGCACCATTTGAGAAGGTTTCTGCTGACCTCATTGATTGTGGACAATCATGCAATGGGTTGAGGTATATACTTGTATTAATAGACCATCTCTCAAGGTACCTTCAGTTGATTCCTCTTCCATCTAAAGAAGCTGAGGTAGTAGCAGATGCTTACATTAGGGATTTTGTAACAATATTTGGTCCCCCACACCTTTTACAAACTGATGGTGGTTGTGAATTCACAAACAGATTATTCCAGCAGGTCTGCAGCATAGTGAAGACGAAGACTCATCTCACTACAGCATGTCATCCACAGGCAAATGGGATGGTGGAGCGTTCAAACAGGGTAATTAAAGAAGCTCTTGCAACCTTAACAGAACGGCACCCTCTGGACTGGCCCCAATATGTACCACAGGTTAGATTGGCGCTGAATAGCGCATTCCACCGGTCCATAGGCGACCAACCTTTATATCTGCTTATGGGTCATCATGGTCACTTTCCAGTTGGCCTCTCCAATGAGGTCACCTTTGCATCAGATTCTGCAAAACGCTTTAGTGATGCGCTGAGAGAAGCTCGTCACGTTGCCATTGAGACGTCCCGTCGTGCTCAAGAAACCTGGGCAAGGCAGTATAATAAGAAGGGAAGGAAAGCTCCCGAGATGGATGTGGGCACCTTAGTTCTTTACAGGAACTCCCGAAGACTAACTGGACCTCGGAGGACTCTTGGATCTCGTTGGGATGGCCCTGCCCGTATCCTGAAGCGTATTGGACCAGTGACGTATATCACCAGGGATGTGGATTCGCCATATAAGGAGCGCAGGTTGCACGCAAATCAGATCAAGCCTTTCAGAACTTTGGAGGAATTAGTGTTTGTGGATTCGCCCAGTGAACAGAGTACCTCTGCTGAAGGTATGTCTAGTGAACGGCAATATGATAACTCTGAAAGAGATCCGGACGAAGTGTTACTGTTGTCAGCTGTGCGCCCCAGATGAACGCGAAATACTTTCCCATGTACATTTTTGTTGTATATATATATTTTTTCCTTACTTTGTTTTCCCTGCTTGTCTTTTACTTTTATCATCTTTTTACTTAACTCTTACTTTTCAGCAGTTTAACTTCTCCCTTTTAGCTTACTTGTCTACCGAGTATACCTTTTTTATGTTTTCCATCTTTTAGTCTTTATCTTTTATTTCAAACTTTTCGCTCGCTTTTAATTTCTCTTTTCATTATCCTTTTGATATGTTTTAGCCCTTATCCATCTGTCTTTTACCCTCTTTTTACTCCTTTTTAACGTTTGTCTTTGTTTCATTTCCATTTCATTACCCCTTCATTTTATTTTTCCTCTGTACATTTATGTTTGTATTCCTTTTGTTTTGTGTTTTACTTTTGTACATTTTTTTGTTTTACCTTTGTTTCATTTTATAGTTTTATGTTTCATTTTATAGTTTTAAGTTTACTTTTAAGTCTCGGGTCTGGTCATTGGTTTTTATGCTTTTGTTTTATCTAGCATTTAGCCAGTTTTATTTAGTTTAACGGGTTCTTGTTATTTTGCTTTAGGGGCCGGCTCAGTGGACATGCCCTTTATAATTACTATCCTTGAATATTCGCAGGTCCTGCCAATGCGTGGAAGCCGTCACAAGGGTTCTAGATTTCCAGGATGTCGTTCTGTCTAGTACTTCCAGATTGTGGTGGCTGTTACTTTCCTTTCTGCCAGCTGAACGTGTGCTGTAACAGGAGAGATAGTGGTCCGTACGTGACGAGAGATGAGGCTTGTTTGGCTTGCAGTTGGAGAAAAGTTGGGAGCGTGAATGGTCGTCTCGTCGCCGTGATCCCCGTGATGGTTTTGTCAAATTCTGCGCCAAATCGCCATAGGGAATGGGCGGGCCCGGAGCAGACCCAGGGATACATCCGAAAACTCGAGGACGAGTGGAGGCGACGCCCCGACCATCACTCCCGGGCCATGGGAGGAGTTGTAGCGAGTGAACTGTGTCAGTTTCCCCTCGTATCCGCTGGCCGTAGCCGATGAGGGTGCCCTCTGTGCGGCTGCGCAGGCCGATGTCCAAGAAAATCGATATAGCGCTACAATTACTGTGAAAAACTAAATATTAAACATTCACTATTGAAAATAGAAGACTGCACACTATTTTGCGCAAGGGAAAAAGGCGCTGTGAACGTTATTGGCAATGTGCGTCGATGTCACTGCGCAGGTGAAAACGCGCAGGCGAAAAACAATAGTGAAGAAACCGCCACTCAGGCCCGAGACTTCAGCGAAGTCAGAGAGAGAGACTTTTTATTATTTTTTTTCGATTTTAAGCTATTCATAGTGTTTTTATTTTATATCATTATCTTTTTGTATTGTGAGGCGGTGGAACACGACATCGGAAACATCAGAGACGCTATGTATCTTAAGGTAATAGTTTTATATTGGTTATGTTCATGTACGCTGTCACTCCTACAGTAAAATACGGAACCCGTAACTTTGAGTTTTTTCTAGAACCCTTTTTATTTTGTATTTTATCAGTTTCAAATTCTTATTTTTACTAGGATCTTTTATTTCATTTTATTCTTTTATTTATTCGTGAATGGCCTTGGTTTTTAAAGTAGTTTAATTAAGTTTTACGTTAATCTTTCGTTGGGTTCAATGGGGTTTTATTGCTTTGTTTTACTTTAACTTTTAATTTCATTTTTACGTTACTTTTGTCACTTTTACGTTTATGTTTTGCGTAAACCTGAGCCATATCACGATACGGAAAGCAACACCAAAGATGGACATCTCTAAGCCTAAATTAAATGAGGAAGAGGGCCACACGCTACCACTTCAGGCCTTTCCTTCACTGTACACTGAAACATGGTGAAATCATCCGCAGAGTACTCTAATATATGTATAAGAGCAAAGTAAACGCTACAAAGGGACACGCAGTTGCCGGACGCTTTTTAACGCCTTATCACCCTAAGCATGCTCCACTGACCTATAAATGTGGTCAGTGGAGCTATCTGTCATCTTTCTCACTCGTCTTACCCTCTTCCGCCAGTTGCAGCGAGCGAGAGAGGGAGTGAGGATGTTTCTCGACCCTCTGCGACGCATTCTACACTATTACAAATTCTACACTATTTGTCCTTGTTTAAGCCTCCGGGCTAGTACAATGGTAACGTGTCGGCCTCTCATCCGAGGGGTCGGCGGTTTGCGCCCCGCCCAGGCGCGAGAAATTGCAATTGTCGCCTGGAGGTTACTGCTGTGGCTGGGCACCACGGCGGGTAAGGACTAAAGCCGAGTCAGCACCAGATGACACTCTGATAGCGAGTCGACATTAGTCGGCACAGGCCGGGCTCCCCCATAGCCCGGGCGAGGCTCAGCTTCGCATATCGGATTTATCCTTTTTGTCCTTGTGACTCTCGTGCCAACAAACAGTAGAAGTATTTATCAAAAGATGGATAAGGAAAAAGAAGATGCAGAATGTAAGATTGCAATTAAAGTCAAGCAAAGTGCGGATGTTCCCTCCCTATTTCCCCAAATATAGTTTCTTGATTATTAAATTTATTTAATTGTTTATTTGTATTTAGTTTATAGTTTTTAGTCTGAGGAGTAACTGATTGATGACAGCAACAGGGAGGGTGAAATGGTGGATATAATAGGCCGATGCAACGGAATTCAAGTGACCCAAACTTTAAGTGCGTTTTTCTCGACACTTTTCTTTTTTCTTCTTCTTCTTTTTTACTATTATTCCTTTGATTTCCTACTGGTAAACAGCTGAAGCGAATGATTTACAAATTGTAGGGAGTGTTGCATACATGTGTGGGTTCAAATCAAGCAATTTTAAAGATCATAATCGTAAAAGTACCGGTAGCGTAGTTTCGTAACACAGAAAGTATCTATTTGATATCGCTTTATATATAACATATATACAAATCAATCTTTACAAAGGAAAAATAAACAAACCATTGTTCGTAAGCTTTATATCATTAGAAACAAATAAATTAGTAACACTTACAATATAGTACTTTTACTTACTTCTAACCGCTCAATTAATGTGGTATTGATGTGTATTAATATTGACAAACCTCAACACTAACAATACAAGTAATATATTAATAAATAGCTTCTTTGATAAATAATTCAAGATCAAACAACAAGAATACACTGTGTGTGTGTGTGTGTGTGTGTGTGTGTGTGTGTGTGTGTGTGTGTGTGTGTGTGTGTGTGTGTGTGTGCGTGTGTTAATAGTTACCAAAACTCACATTCAGCGACATAGTTCTCCAGCTGAAAGAAAAATGAACATTCGTTTGTTAGATGTCGAACTGAACAACTACATATATTGCACAAAGATATTTATGGTAATGATGGCATTGACAATAAGGACGCGGATAATTGTCATGATAATGATAGTAATATTAATAATCGTATTTCTACTAGCAGATATGATGATAACAATCAGTGATGATGGTAATGGTAATAATGATACTTCTATAATAATGATAACAATCTTAATTATATTACTATTATCTCAATCACCTTTTTATCAATGATGATAATAATTATATCAGTAATGATTGTAATGATGGATGATGATGATACTAACAACAATGATGGTAATACTAAGAATAATGATAACGAAAATAATAATGATAATGATAAGGATAATAACGAAAATAATAATAGTAATAATAATAATAATAACTACTAATGATAATAGCAACAACAGTCATAAAAATATTGGACTTTAATATCTCTCGGATACGAAGAGGAAAAAAAGACAAACTGACGCGTAAGAACAAAACAGATAAATAATCAATCATGCAATTGAAAAGTTTTAACACATAATAAATAATCAGTTAAGAAAACCGTCAATTGTCTCATTATACTCACTTCTAGGTTTAAATTCACAGCGATCTGTCTCATAATTATACATTTTATCAGTGTCAATGCAGTTCCTCAGCTGTGTATACCAAGACCCGTCCTCTCCCTTCCAACACTGGTAGTAGTTTGTACACAACTGCTTCCTAGTCTGTGATAAAGACCATTCGTTTTAGGGAAATGGGTTGGATGGCTTGTTAACAAAGTGGTTATTAAGGATTTGTGGTTTCTTCACATTTTTTGTATGTTTTGATATGTGTTTGATGTGGTTCTGGTTATAGTATGTGGTGTTGAATTCGTTTGTTAGAGGCTTTTAGATTATTCATGTTTTGTTTTAAGGTGTACTTAAGGGTTTAAGATTTATTTACTATTTCATACTTTCCTGATACACGCATACACACGTTCATGTGTGTTTGTGTATATATGTATACATATACATGGGTGTGTTTGTGTGTGTGCATACATATATATATATTTAGATATACAGGCACTCTTACGCAAACATCACTATATGCACACCTATATATATGTGTGTGTGTGTGTGTGTGAAAGCCTTTCTCAGTCTGTCCATATATCTGTCTTTCTATCTGACTTTCTTTCTCTCACACTCTTCCTATATCTTCACGTATGCTTGCATGTGCTTGTCACTGATAAGACCACACTTAATCTGAAATTATCGAAATCACTTTTTATAGAGAAAACGACTGGTGTTACGAGCCAGCACTGTGGAAGTATTGGTTACTGAGGGCGAAAGAACCCGTTTGAGTCTCTTTTTTTTCTTTCTCTCTCTCTCTCTCTCTCTCTCTCTCTTTTACTCCTCTCCTCTCTCTCCCTCTCTCTCTCTTTCTCCCCCCCCCCTCTCTCTCTCTCTCTCTCTCTCTCTCTCTCTCTCTCTCTCTCTCTCTCTCTCTCTCTCTCTCTCGCTCTCTCTCTCTCTCTCTCTCTCGCTCTCTCTCTCTCTCTCTCTCTCTCTCTCTCTCTCTCTCTCTCTTTTTAAATCTCTCCTCTCTCTTTCTCTCTTTCTCCAAATACTAACCTATCTATTTAAAGATCACATACTCTGAGCCAGGCAGGTCACCCAATCCCAGACATGCCCCCAAAGCATCGGACTCCATACCTGGAACAAGTTGCCTGCGGTGCAAAGGTAATACTCTGTGCAGTATAAATCCAGTATCCAGTCTTGTTTCGGACGCGTAACGGCATCTGAACACTGGATGAATCTGTGCTGTCCCGGATCACGCACAGGGTTGGAGGCAGGTGCGCAGGTTCGTAGGGCTGTGACATCAATAATGTTATTGTCGTATTGTAGAGGTATAGATAGAAAAGGAATAATC